CTCATTCAGGTACTGTCACCTTCTCACTGCTGTTGGAGATTAACCACATCCATACTGATTTAAGTGGCACTTGAATATTTTAAATAGAGAGGAGTGGCAAAATATTTTACAATAAATAAATAAATGCCCATCTCGGTATCCCTTCCCCCCCCCTTTCTGTCTTTCCTTTGTTTTCTTTTCAGTATCTGAGGAAGTGAGTTGTAGCTCATGAAGGCTTATGCTCTAACACACTAATAAATATTAGTCTTTAAAGTGCCACCTTGGTTTTTTTTTTAAATGAAGATGTGGTGTCTTTTCTATCACCTTAGGTCTCTAAATCAAGACTGGGCATCTTTCTAAATGATACGAAGTAGCTCCGAAACTAATTGTGAGTTTCTTCCCTAGTGTACCAGGTAAGGCCTGTATTATGCAGATATCAGTCTAGTCACTCTGGTTCGTTCTGTCCTTAAGATGTATGAATCTACTTCACACCTGTCTTAGCTGCTCATGCAGGATGGTGGTTAGTGGCTTTTGGCCCAGGACCACCATGGACTTAGGTATCTCATTACTGAGCATTACAATCCCTAGTTTTTATGAACTCTAGCCACCCAGTGGAATCCACAAAAGCAAATATACTGAATTAGGCACCTATACTCCCTATACAATATCTGGGGAAACAAGGGCACCTAAGAATGCAATCCACAAAAGTGAATAGATAGATGAGTAATCTACCACATCCTGGCTGAGTTCCCTAACCATTGGGATGAATATTATGAGGCAGTCCTTCTTCCTCCCCCGTCCCTTTTCCCCTGCTGTTTTGTGTGTAGTTCAGCAAGTTAGGACCACACTTAGTGGTCATTGATCCACTTATCTTTATGTGACTTGAGGATCATGCTGGGACTTCAGTGAGAGATAGACATCCAGAGGTGCATGCCTAGGGGACTTTTACAACAGAAATGTAGGTGCCTGAAGGACTAAATGGCACAAGTAGGGAGGAGTTTAGATTGCAATAGTACATAAATCTGCAACATATATGCCTCTAACCTTTTGTGCATCTAGACCTTTGGGCTCAATTCTATTTTGGTTAAACACCACCAGTCACTTAAATTCAATGGAGTTTCTTGGTTATAATTACAGCGAGTCCTCGAGTTGCGAACGGTTGACTTACGATCGTTCGCAGTTACGACCAAAAATGTCATAAATGGCGGACCCCGAGTTACAAAAACGATCTGCGCTTATGAACAATGCAGTTGCGTGTAACTCAATGGGGTCCAACTTATGAACAAACCGAGTTACGACCAATTGCTTGGTCCATATCCGGTAAGTCAGAGACAGGCTGTAATGGCAGAATTTGACTTCTTGCTACACTTCACTTTTTAGCATGGGATACATGACATATAAATATAGATCTTTCCCAGTTCTAAATTGTGTTGTTCTTTGGCCCAGTCTTTTCTCTTCTTCTCACCTTGGGCGGTCATTAGTGAATCAAGGGTATATATGCTACAAGATGAGACAGGTTATATTTTACAGCTCTGTGTGACTGCATATGGTTCAAGGCTATGAAAAATCAGTCCTTTAGTATTAATTTATGAACATGTTTGCTTTTCTTATTGAATAAGATGTGGAAGGCTGCTATATCTATAGGGAGCTAAAAAAAAGATTTAGGCAGCATTCCCACTTTTATGGTTTAAAAGATGTTCATGTCTTTTATAAAAACAGTGTTTCAAGATTTTATAGTTTGATGATAGAAATTACTCTAGGCTGAAATGTAACTTGACATGAAAGATTTCAGCCTAGAGTAAATTGATAGGAGCAATTTTGAAAACAACAACAACAACAACAACAACAACAACAACAACAACAACAACACACTTGCACATTTCTAAGTTACGTGTGAGTAGGCAAAAACAATAATGTATCATTTGGGGAAGGAAAGGAAGCTATGAGACCTATCTATATCATGTCAAGAGTACATTTCTTTCTTCAACTGAAACTTTGCAGTTTAAATTGTGAATGGCCATTGCCTTTGGATATCTGTGGGATGAAAGTAATAACAATGAAATGTACTGATGTACAGATATACTTTCCATATAAATGTGGCTAATTTTATTCCACTAAAATTTTACAGGGACTTTTAGTATGCAGACAAATAGTGACCATATGTGGCAATTGGGTTGATAAATATAAACTCTAATAGCTTCATTCTGCCAAAAACAAATTAGAAGTGCTCGTCTCTGATCAAGTCTGAATTCATTCAGTGTTTTGGCAGGCTGGAATTGTTAAATACTGCTTATTCCATATGTTCATTTGATAAATATCTCAGGAAGGTACCTAATAGAAATCTCAGGTGTAATTCTTTTCATCCATAAAATAAATATGTAACCTAAGTAGAACTTAAAGCATGATTTTCTATCCTTTGTGTGTGGGCACCTCGTAAGTAAATTTCATTGTAGGTCTTGATTTTGGAATTGGATTTCTCTTTTGGACAGAAGTCTGCAATCAACTTATTTTACTGTTAAGACTTAATTGAATTTAAATTAGGAGAGACAGTTTTGTTGGTTTGTTTTCATTCCCTCGATTTGTTTAAAATAAAAATGTGGAAACCTAACAAAGAGCTCCACGATGCTGCCACTGATTTCAATGGGAGCAGAAGGAAGGTCCAGAATCTGCATGCATGTTAAATGATCTGTAAATTAAGGCCCGGTTCTCACAACGAAATCTATGTGAGGAATTTTCCCTGGCACCTTGAAAAAACATATTGATTTCTGTGGAAGCACATGACAGGCCTGCCCTGACTTTGAAGAACAGTGCCAAATGTAATCACTTAAAACTAAACAACATTGTCAGAGAAGAAACAACTCTTTTCCTATTTTAGCAATTCAGGTAATATTCTACAATTTTTAATGAATTATCATTAACAATTATCATTTAAATTTCTATTTCCAAAAATAAGTCATTGGTGAAGAAATTATGGTAGTATATTTTTTTCCAGTGCTTTTATTATTATTTTACACCATTACAATCTCTCAGCTTCCTCTAAAGGTAATTTTTTTAGCTGCTGGTAATGACCAGTTTTCAGAAGCCATCATTTAATTGCATCCTTCTTGTTCATTGCTTTGCATCCACCTGGTTGTGCATGCTGCTCTGAAATGAGCCCTCTTGCTCAATGTATAATCAAAGTAGGATGATTAACAAGGGCTTCCAGTAGTTTACTGAGCTTGTATTGGGTACTTCTAAGAAAGAACAGGCTATATTCAGAAAACAATTGATGTGGTGTCCTGTTGTGCCTCATCACTAGTGAATTTATTTCTCTCTTAACTGTGCATATCATCATGTCTGTTAATTTGGGCCACCACATAAACATTCCTTTATATGCAGAGATATGTGTCAGCTTTCATCTGAACTTCATATTTTTCAGTAAAAAACAGCAGGTTTTGTGAGTTCTGATTCAGCAACCACTTTCAGTAGGGTTTAAATACACGTTTCTGTGCTTTGCTGAATTGGAGTCTTTGTTGAAATCACATTGTCTTTGAATAAACTGCTGAGAGCCACAGAAATGCTTTTGTTTCAGGGATAATCAGAGTATGGCCTGATCTACATTAAGAAATTTGGTCTGCAAAACTAATGTCACTTAAGTGTGTGAAAGAGCCACACACTTGAGTGACACACTAAAATTGACTTAAACTCCAATGTAGATGCCTCTCAATGAGCTAGCTACCAACTCTTGGAGTGGATTACTTTTGTCAAATACCTCCCTTTGGTGGTATTTGACATAAGTAACCCTTATACTGAAGCACTCAAACAGCACAAATGCAGTGGCACTGCTATGCTGCTATAGTGGTTTATGCATGGACAAGCTCTGTCAGCTCATTGCTTATTTTAAGGTCCCACATTCACACCAAATAAACACAAAGATTTATTGGTAGCAGGAGAATTAAAAATCACCAATCAAAATGTGTAAGAACAGCATCTCACAATGTAAGTGCCTTGAACAAAAGCACCAGTCTGGACAAAAAAAAAATTCAACTCTTAAAAAAAATTACAGCTGGTATGACATTTTTACAGGCTGGTCCCCTATTTCTAAGGGCATACTATCTATTATGTTTCATTCATTGCTAAGTGTATTAGAGCCTCATTTTTTGTTTTAAATCAAACTAAAGCTGCCTGAAAGTTGGTGAGCAGAGGGTTGTTTACAGTAGAAAGTTGCTCTGCTTGAGCTCTACTAGTATAGTTCAAAGGATACAATCCCCCTATTATGCACACAGTCATCTCAGTATGAAGGTGTTTTATATCAGTTTAGTGAGGCGAGTAAGCTTTATTGGTATAAAGCACTTTTATGAATATATAGCTCTTCAAGTTATGCTAGGAAAACTATTTAGGTATAAATAAAGACATGCATAGCTCCCTAGCCTAGTTCTGTAAGTACAAAGAACTACATGGAGACCAGGCTGTTAAACATTAGGAAACACTACTCTTAAGGTTACTTCTAAAACCTTAGCACAGTGCCATTGTGCACGTGTGTTATGATACGGACTCAAAAGTATGGCCTTGTGGTCAATTCCCTTGCCCACACTGTATTAATTTCCCCCAAAGTACCAAGGGAAATGGTAGTTTCTCCTTCTCTTGATGTCTCCCAAGGCCAGATACCTTTCTGATGTGTACTTTGGTCCCCAACTCCATACTGCACCCTACAGAATGACTGTGATCTGCAAGCGGGTCATAGTAGATGATCTAATAGTCTCTTCTATGCAAAACTGAATGTGGCACATTGAACAGTCTCTGATATTTTCATGTGTAATCTACTTAATCCCCAGCACTAGCACTAAGTGAGTGGGGGGAGTAACAAGGGGCACAAGTCAAACATACACAGGATTGGCCCACAGGCAGGACCTTGGTCCTGCAGGTCATAGGTGGGTCTGGCAGAGAAATCACAAGAGACTTTTGCAGCTCCTCAGTTTATTATCAAAGATGTTTGGGAGGCGGTGACCTCACAGAGTGTCCATGGCAATGGGCATGTAAGAGAATCTTCAAGGTACAGTGGTGGATCTTGCATACACTTGAATCATTGGTATGTAATTCTTAGAGACAGGTGACTCTAGTTTTCACATTGAATATAGCATTCCATTTGAACTTGATAGACATAACTTTGGGAACCTGGGGAATGTATTGTCATGTCAACTAATAGCAATGGATACTACAGGCCAAACTAAGTCTTCAGATGTGCAAAAACCAAAGAAAGAACTGAGTTCTAAAGCTGTAGGATAGTTCAGGCTATGACTCCCATCCCTGTTCTAGCCATCATAAATGATATAACATTACACATTCACTGACATCCACCCTTGATGATATCAGAAATGCTGACTCTTGTAACAAAATCATTACCAAAAAATTGGTGGCATGAAAGCATTTCATTGTAGTGCAGGGGCAATCACAATATACGCTAAATAAAAATACAGGAAAGCTAATGCATTTTGACCATGGAAAACTAGGATAGTTCTCTTTGGAAATATTTAAAATCGAGCTCTACATCTCATTTTTGTGATGTGGCCTTTCCGTACCAATCTACAAAATCCGTTCATTTGGAGGGAGCTCAAAATCTTGAGTTTAGTTCATCCTGTCAATTATCAATGGTGGAAAATTTCAGTGCATTCATCTCAAAGGCATCAGTCTTTCTGAATCTTAGGATACTTCAAAGGTTAAAAATCCAGAAATAACACTAATCCATACTATTGTTTGGTTTTGTTTTGACTCCAGGGTCATTATATTCACATTAAGACAATGTTATTACAACGCCAGCATAAACAATCAATTAAGGAGATAAAATGTTTACTTCTATAGTGATGAGCTTTGCAAAAATCATCTGTAAATAAACATATTAAATTGGCAAAAACAGATTATCTTTTATATTTTATAAAATAAGAACTACAAAAGAAGAGGAAACAGTTATTCAAAAACCCCAAAAGATTTGAAATAAAGCATAAATATATCTGCTGCATGTACTGTTATTATAATATAATCATTGTTCTTGCCTTGACAATTTAAGATAATTAGCATTATTACAAAATAAACATAAAGGCTACATCATGATTTTGTGCAAATGCGCAAATACTGGCATGATTTTGCGCAAATGCTTTTAATGGAAAAACTTTTCCATTAAAAGCATTTGCGCAAAAGAGCGTCTAGATTGGCATGGATGCTTTTGCGCAAAAAGTGCTTTTGCGCAAAAGCATCCATGGCCAGTCTAGACGCGATTTTGCTCAAGAAAGCCCAGATCGCCATTTTCGACATTGGGGATTTTTTGCACAAAACAGTTCTTCCCTGTCTACACTGGCCCTCTTGCTCAAAAACATTTGCACAAATTCAAGCGGCCAGTGTAAACAGCTGGCAAGATTTTGTTGAAAAGCAGCTGCTTTTGCGCAAAATCTTGCCAGTCTAGACACAGCCAAAGTGAATAAGTCTAATAATCCGTGTGTGTCAACACCAATTTAAAGTGCATTATATAGTGCTTATCATCAAGTAACTCTTTATATAATAAACATGCTACAATAAATTGTGATCTGCATGCATCCAAGGGTTGAAAGTCCCAAGAACTGTGTTGGGAAAATGAGAGGAATATCTACCTTTCTACCACTGTAGCAACATTCTCCACCCCAACATTCTCTTCCTGTAGTATCCCCTTTGCTTTGACCCTGATCCTGAATTTCTGCTCTGGTAGGACAGTTTCAGAATGGAGAAACCTTCTGGAATAGTGGTTTAAACTGTGGGGTGCATCTCCCCGGGAAGATATGGAGAAATATTTAGGGAGATAAGGGGAAACACCAGGTGCCTCAACCCAGCATCATGGGAGTCGTGTTTTAGCCCCACCCAAAGAGCTCAGGGAGGGAACACTATTTCCACCCCTACCTCACCTCTTTTTGTCTCGGTTGGAAGAATGAAACCACAAATTGTAAGTCAGAGGCTCCAAAAGTTTGAAAGCTGTTGCTCTAAAAGGATTATTCTAGAGTTATTAATATCTAGAATTATTACTATCTCTGCCCCCACTATTCCCATTCTGGCTCCACCTCTTCTACTGTAGTTTTCTTTGTTATGCAAACCTACCAACCTTGATTTGTGCAGAACAGAAGGTCACATATGCAAGGGTATGTAATAGCTACTTCTGTCTGACAAAATCAGAGAATCCCAGAAATTTAAGAAACACTGTCCTTTTCATGTGTGTTCATTTTTTTAAAAATTGTATCCTTTGGTATATATGGTTGTGACTATTTTCTTCCATTATTTGATCTGAGGAAGTGGGTCTGGCCCACGAAAGCTCATCATCTAATAAACCATCTTGTTAGTCTTTAAAGTGCTACATAGTCCTGTATTTTGTTTAAGAAACACTAAGACATCTTTCCCAGAAATATATTGTTCTAAAATTTTATTCAGATACAAATAGCTGTGGTCATCTATCAGCATAAACCCAGAAGGGCCATTAATGCTGGCTCCTTACCATACCAGACCCTGCAGTAGAAAAGGCAATATGCCATGGAAACTCATAACACAATAAACCTATTAGCTCTGCATCCAAAAGTGATGCAGCCAAACAGCTCTTCCCACAGTGTAACAAACAATGCCTGATTCCCAGTCATTTTAAAAATCCTGCCCATAGGTGTATTACATCATTTTACACTCATTCACATTTGGAAGGGTGCCCTGATAGCTAAGGTTTAGAGACACAGGTCCAAATTTCTGTCCTCACACTCCATGAATCTCAATGATTTGTTTTATTGTTTTGTTTTCACAGAAAACTTAGATTCTCGAGTTTATTTCTATGAGAGGGTAAATATAATGACAGATTCTATGACAGTAGAATTCACAGAGCCCTGACTATATTGAGTGCCAAGGTGAGTCATTTTAAGTTCTTCCATGTCCACTTCCTATATTCTTTATAGAAGGACCCACTTCTATTTTAAGATGCCTGAGAGACTAAAAAATGCTCAGTCTATGTCTAAAATGCAGAGCTTTTCCAGGATACCAGAGATATCCCAGAAAAGCTCTGCCGCATCCAAGGAATGCGTCCACTTTTTCGGAACAGTTTCTAAAAAAGCAGATGCGTTCTTTTGGCATCCCTGTATTCCTTACTGTATGAGAAATAAAGGATGTTCTGAAAGAGGAGGTTTTTCCAAAATTTGGCTCTGTGTAGATGGGCAAAATTTCGGAAAAGCCTCTTCCGAAAAATAAAGGAGAAAAAGATACGCAAATTGCAATTCACAATCTGTTTATCTTTTTCCAACTTTTCTTTGTAGGGTAGACATCAGATGCATCTAGACTGCAGCTTTTTCCAGAAAAATGTCTGTTTTTCTGAAAAATATTCACTTACGATATCTACACTGCTGTTGCGTTCTTTTGAGGTTTTTCTGACATTGGTGAACCTCATTCTATGAGGAAGAACACCTTTTCTGAAAGAGCTCTTTCAGAAAAAGGCATGTGTGGACAGGGAAGAAGGAGTTTTTTTCAAAAGAAGAGGTTTCCAGGAAAAAGCACAGGTGCCCAGGCGGCCACTGTGTCCATAGTAATCACAGCTTAAATGTGTGACAGTGTCCATTCAGTGTGGATGCTATCTTTTGAAATGAGCTTGGGCAGTGTGGACACTCTCTTTTGAAATAAGTTTTTTTTGAAGATCTCTTCCAGAAAAGCTTCTTTGGAAAGAAGCCTGCAGTCTAGACGTACCTTCAGTGTCATCTCTATTATTGACTTAACATGATATCCGATTCTGACCAGGAAAAAGAGGGTAGCACCAGACAATCTCATGAAGGAACTCAGCCACTGAGGAGCAAGAATTCTACCTGATGAAATTGGATATCCTCTACTCAAGAGCCCAAGGAAATATAAAGGTCAGTAAGCAGGCAAAGATTTGTTTCTGTTTGCCTGGTGCTTGCAAACTCAAGTTGTGCACAATGCTGCTTAAAAAAAAACAACAACAAACCAAACAAAAAACAAAACAAAAACAAAAAACGAAAACAAATCCAGACAACTGAACAACTACAGCAACTGGAACCTACTAAAAAGCGTCAATACATTTTTTTATATAAAAATGTTGCTCTGTGCAACTCTGAAGGGAGGGAGAAAAGATAATGTTAAGCCGTTTTTTGCATTTCCATTATTCCAGTCTATTTAGGCCCATGATATAAATTAGAGCACCATAAAGGCTGCCCTACTTTATGCCAGTGATAATGGTCCCTTAGGGGAGTTCCATCAGCTGGGAACTGGTAGAACATTCAATCCAGCCTCACATACCCTTCCAGCCCCTGGAAAACCCTATGAAAGCAGTGAGCTAAAATTAGGATTTTTAGACCCAGCTATGCTGACTTTTCACCATATGAGAATTCTCTTAAGCAAGAGGAATTCCCAGGTGAGCAGCTTTACAGCCCATTTGCACCACTCCCACAGCACAAAGGGACAGAAGTTTAGGCAGGAATCTGGCTTACATTCTTTACCTTCTTAAAAGGAGTCTTGTTTGTTTAAACTTTATGTTCTAATTATTTCCAGGTAGGGTGTTCTTTGCCTGAAGTCAGAGATGTGATGTTCCCTTTCTCACAATCAGAGACAAATTAAAACATTTACCAGAATGTCAGAGTGAGATCAAGCAAAAATAACTTCATCTGGCTTCTGAGCCAAAGGGGAAAAGCCTTGTTACTTACAAGCTTTGCCTTCTGTTAAGACTTTCACAGCAAACAAGTGCAGGTTGAGCCTCCCAAATCCAGGACTCTGGTCCTGCAACATCTGTGGTCAGGCAAGGCCATGGATGTAGCTGGACCAAGGAGCCCCAGGAGCAGGAGCCAGTCTGGAGAATTTAGGGTCTGTGGAATCCTGGCTCGGCCAGCAGCAGGCAGGGGAACTCTGGTGTCATCAGGGCCACATGGCAGTAGGGAGCCTCTTCCCCGCCTGGGGAACCTCCAGTGACAGTGGGGTCATGAAGGCAGAGAGCCCCTAGAAGCAGGGCCAGTGACAGACGGAGAACTCCAGAGACCTCCCTGTAGTGGGGCTGAGATGGCCGGGCAGTCCTGACCAGGAAAACCCTGGCAGCAATGGGGCCAGGCAGTGGCCTGCAAGCTCCAGCTGGGGGACCCCAGCAGAAGGGTCAGGTGGCAGCCAGGGAGTCCCAGCTCCTGCAGGGGAGTTTCTGGTGGCAGCGGAGCTGGTCTATCAGCCCTGGCAGGGGAACCCTGGGAAACCCCAGGAAACCCCCAGTGGTGGCAGGCCTGGGCCACCCCAAAGAACCCGCAGAGGCAGAGGGGGTGGTGGTGCCCAGCTAGCCTTGGCTGGGGAACCTCTGGAGCAGTGGGTGGGCAGCTAGGTGGGGAGCCTCAGCCCAGCCAGCTTTAGCGGGGCTCTATGGCAGGGAGGGGAGCACCAGCCTTAGGAGCCCCATAGAGACAAGTTGGCAGAGGGGCAGCCAGAAGGGGAGCACTGACCTCCCCTGGTCCAGCAAACTCCCAGGTCTGGGAAGCCCCAGATGACCCATGGAGGTCCAATCTGTACTAATAATCTGAACTGTCTCTTCCTCCCAATGATGAGTAGGTAGTAAAAATAGTAATAGTACCCAGCCCTGAAAACGTTCCAAGTTTGAAGTTGGTGAAAATGCAGAACAACTATTTTAAGTTCTCTTAAATATGCATACAGTGTGTAAAAGTCTGATCTGAGTTGCATATATTTATATATATATATATAGAGAGAGAGAGAGAGAGAGAGAGAGAGAGAGAGAGAGAGAGAGAGTCAACAGAATCTATCTATCTATCTATCTATCTACCTATCTTTAATTAGCTCAGATTTAATTTAAGAAATACATTTTTTCCTTATTAAATATAGTCGTTCCGATGTATCAGGAACTTGCTGACAGATGACCACTGTGATATGTAAGTCCTTCTGAATAGACATCATTGAAAACTTCCATCTTACACAATAGTGACCTAATTTTAGTATGATTGAGGGAACTATAAAATTGATTCAAGCTATGCCTTCATCACATTTACAAAGCAAGTAAAAATTCAAGGATAGGATCTAAAATTAGGAAACTGGTAGCAGAACCAAGAACCAAAAAGTTTAAGAATATGGAAAGTCTGACACCCTTCCTCCAAAAAGAGCTATTGAAATGAGCATTAGTGATCTCAAAAAAAAAAAAAAAAAAAAAAAAAGTATCGACCCTCAGCATTGAGAGGTAAAGGAAACATATGCTAATAGAGATGATGAAATTTAAAATGGCCATTTAAAGTGGCCTTTTCTCTAGATTACTTACATTCATTCTAAAACATCTATATCTTGTATAGCATCAGTGTTGTAATGATATAAGAAACATTCATTTCTATTGAATTCACTCAGAACATGTCTATACTATGGAGAAGATCGACCCTCTGTAGGTTGATCTAGCATTTGATTTAGTGGGTCTGGTGTAGACCCCCAAACTGTGGTTGATCTAGCATTTGATTTAGCGGGTCTGGTGTAGACCCCCAAACTGAATGCTGAAGGCAGCCCATGCCAATGTCCTATATTCCTCATTCTGTGAGGAATGAGGGAAGCTGACAGGAATGTGTGCTCCTGTCAGCCTCCTGAAGTGTAGGTACTGTGGCGGCTCGACTTAAGGTAAACTGAATCCAGCTATGAATTTTGCATAGCTGGATGGTCTAGCTTAAGCTGACCTGCCTGGTCTAGTGTAGACCGAGGCTCAGCCCACGAAAGCTCATGATGCTATCTACATGTTTTGTTAATCTTTAAAGTGCTACCAGATTATTTGTTGTTTTTTTAAGTTTACCCCGGACCAACTAACTCGGCTATCCTCTGAAGCTTCATTATATAATGTTTCCCTCATAAATAAGCCCCAGAATCCTTTGTGCTATCTGTGGAGGTGCTCCATTGCAGCTGGCACAAAAGCTTTAAGAGCACCTATTGTGCAAACATAAACTAGAACTGGAATATAATATTGGAGGAGTAGGCTTGCTTGGCAGAACATACATAGCTAGATTAGAGCAGGTAGAAGTCTGTCTGTCTTGTGCATGATCATGGTTGTCTTCTGGTACTCCATTACACAACCAGAACTAAAGGTTACTCCAATACATCTCTTATTAAATTTCAGGACGGGCAACTAAAAAAAAAATCCGCTAATTTTAGTGATGATAGCATTCTGACAGATGGGCACTTAGAACTATATCTGGAGCATAAAACTACAATCTGTTTTTGTTTTGCTTTTTAAAGTGAACTTATTGCTTGCAGAAGGTGACAAATCCTCTATGGATCCACATAATAAGTATGAGTATACTTATTAGCATGAGTATAAGCCCTAATCTATACTATAGGGTTATGTTGACGAAACTACCTTGTGTTGACCTAGCTGTGGAAGTTTCTTCACTTAAAATTGGCTCCTGCCAACATAATCAGTTTGGTTCTCTATAACTGATTTAGTAACATCACCTCCCTGAGTAGCACAGTCATAGTCCATATAATTAAGAACATAAGAACAGCCATACTGAGTCATACCGAAGGTCCATCTAGCCCAGTATCTGTCTTCTGACAATTGTGAATGCCCCGGGGACAGTAAACAGGTAATCATCAAATGATCCATCCCCCATCTCCCATTCCCAGTTTCTGGTAAAGAAAAGGCTAGGGATATCATTCCTATCCATCCTGGCTAATAGCCACTGATGGACCTATCCTCTATGAATGTATCTAGCTCTTTTTTTTTAACCCTATTCAAGTCCTGGCCTTCATAACACACTCTAGCAAGGGGTTCCACAGTACTTTGCCTGAAGAAATACTTTCTTTTGTTTGTTTTGAAACTGCTATTTATTAATTTCATTTGATGACCCCGAGGTCTTGTGTTATGGGAGCAAGTAAATAATATTCTCTTTCTTATTCTCTGTCCCTTTATTAATTATTTTGAAGATTCTATTTGCTTTTTTGACTGCCACTGTACGTCAGCTACGTCTACACTGGCATGATTTTCCGGAAATGCTTTTAACGGAAAAGTTTTCCGTTAAAAGCATTTTCGGAAAAGAGCGTCTAGATTGGCAGGACGCTTTTCCACAAAAGCACTTTTTGCAGGAAAGCGTCCGTGGCCAATCTAGACGTCCTTTTCCGCAAAAAAGCCCCAATCGCCATTTTTGCGATCAGGGCTCTTTTGCGGAAAAGAAATCTCTGCTGTCTACACTGGCCCTTTTGCGCAAAAGTGTTTCAGAAAAAGACTTTTGCCCGAACAGGAGCAGCAAAGTATTTCCGCAAAAGCACTGATTTCTTACAGTAGGAAGTCAGTGCTTTTGCAGAAATTCAAGCGCCCAGTGTAGACAGCTGGCAAGTTTTTCCGGGAAAGCGGCTGATTTTCCGGAAAAACTGGCCAGTCTAGACATAGCCATTGAGTATATGTTTTCAGAGAACTATCTACAATGATTCTAAGATCTCTATTTTGAGTGGTACAGCTAAATTAATCCCCATCATTTTATATATATAATTGGAATTATGTTTTCCAATATGCATTACTTTCCATTTATCAACAATAAAATTCATCTGCCATTTTGTTGCCCAATCACCTAGTTTTTTGAGGTCCTTTTGAAACTCTTCACAGTCTGCTTTGGGCCTAACTATTTTGAGCAGTTTGATATCATCTACAGATTTTTCCACCTCACTATTTACCCCTTTCTCCAGATCGTTTATAAATATGTTGGGTAGGATTGGTCCCAGTATGAATCCCTGCGGAATACCATTAGTTACTTCTCTCCATTCTGAAAACTCACCATTTATTCCTACCTTTTGTTTCTTGTAATTTAACCAGTTATCAGTCCATGAAAGGACCTTCCCTCTTATCCCATGACAGCTTATTTTGCTTAAAAGCCTTTGGTGA